TGTATTTAGTGCGCAAATACAAGCATGCATATTGCATACACCCATACATATATGGATGTATGAATGTATGTACATTTGTCATTTGCAAGATTGTTTGTTGGCTTGCTTTCCACTGAAATTTTGCAACCTAAATCCGGCTAAAAAATAAAATCAGCGTACACGTCTGAAATAGCAGCAACACTTGGTAGATGATGAGTAAAAGTGCCTCCGCAATGACTGAATTAAAAACAACAACAACATTAACATAAATCATTGTAAATTTCACACACGTTTTAGTGGAAGCGATTGTGTACAAATTTGATTTGTATGGATGTGAGTAAAAGTGCAAACAACGCTTGTATGTAAATTATGTTCACAATATACAAACATGCACACATATGTACATATTTACATACACATAATATATATACATAGGTAAACGAACGTCCACGTGAATGCATTTTTTGTATTCACTCAAGTGTAGTTTCCCATCATGGGAGATAAGGTGGCACTTAGATAGATAGACTCCTATGTATGTATATACTTACATTCATATATACAATTAAAGCAATCACCTTCGGTTTTATTGTTAATTATCCGTAAACAGCTGGCACACAACTGAGGCCAAGGAAATGAGCGCTTAGAATAATTAATATGAAAGAAATATACGTAATTACAGCGAACAAATTCTTAAAGCATACTTAAATAAACGTTTTAATAACAAATTAAAAAAAAATAGGCAAAAAATCACAAATCACGTACGAATAGCAGAAAAAATTGAAATAACCAACAAGTCTAAGTAAATAAATAAACAAAAGAGAATMAAAAAGCAACAGACAGAACGTGAATGCCGGCTGCCATGGCCACCACAAGCGCCACGCCGCAAACACTCACACCACTTTGGRGAAGTATAAATGTCTGGCGAAAACGAAATTACACAAAACTTATTTGATTAAAAAAGGAGAAACGTAAAAGTCAGAGATCGACGAGTCACTCACTGGATACCACGATTATTAGTGTTTAAGCATTTGCAGCTGATATTTTGTAGCATACACTATTTGCTGGCCCAMTGCAGCTACACTTTCATAATTCACACAAACTTAACCTCATCTACCAGGAAAAGATGGCCGCAATGCATGGCGGATGTTTACATGTACCAAAAAAAAAAAGAGATGATAGATATTCTTTAAAAAAGCAAATAATATTCGCATATTTTTTCATTTACATTGCGACCAAGAAGTACCCGGAAATTGTAAATAAATGCAAAATATTTAATTATTCATCAATATTAATTTTGACGCCTTCAAAGTAACCCTAACCAGATGTAATACAGTTAATCCCCGTTGGGTTGGTAAAGGTCATTTGCGTTGTTGTCGAGGTCATTTAAGGGGATGCCCATGAAACATGCTGTTTCGACGGGGTTGTTGTTGTAACGGCAGAATTCTGCGCTAGGGTCACTCGCGTTTCTCGCGGCAACTGGAGCTCTTCGTCTGCGATAGGTGGTGATTTGACTCCAAGAACGCCATTCACGGGAAGGGAGTCGGTGAAGGTGTTGATGGCTCCACTGTGAATGACGGTCAGTACCTGTCGGAAGTCAGTTGCGTCCGAAGTGCGGTCGGCGTACTGTGCGACGTCGTCGACGTAGTCAAGGAAGGACGTTTTGATGCTCCTAGGAGGCGGTTCCGCTCCAAGCAGATGGCTGCAAGAGTGATTCCTACTTAAACATCCTAGCAGGAACTGTTTGGATAGGAGTTCATTATGCTCCTTTACAGGAAGCACAAGCGTCTCACTCTGGAGGTGTTCTATGGGAGACATCAAAAGGCATCTCGTCGTGGTCCGGAGTGCAGTATTCTGACAGATCTGAAGTTTTCCCATCTGCGTTCCACTGCATCCGGGCGACCATATTGGTGCTGCGTAGTTAAGGACCGGCCGGCCATTTTCCCACGAAGCCGGTTCTACGCACCGGAATTGACTCGGATTTTATCCGACCAAGTGCTGTTTTTTMGGSGTACTAACCCCGTTTGGATCGGTGAGTACTAATTTCTCCAGACCTCGAAACACTTTTCATAAGCACTTTTTGGGATTCGCAGTTCCTCCAGCACATTTTGTTTTATCTCTTCGATCGACTGAAAACGGGATCTACGGAGCGGCAATTTCCGTTCGAGGAACAAGAARAAAGCACACGGAGCCAAATCTGGTGGATATTGTGGTTGATCGATSGTATTCATTGAGTTTTGGCTTTAAATTCGGTCCCAATCATTCTCTTTTTGAAAAAAAAAAAAACAAGAGCAAGAACCCGTTTCATATCCAAAATATATTCTTCACTTTGTTAATATTTTCATCAGCTGAAGAGGCTGAAGGTTGCCCAGAACGATACAGCAAATTCTTTTTCGATATTTGGATCAATTGTAAAAATAAATAATTAAGGACAGTCCTACCTACTTAGCAAAATACATTTATTTGAAATATCATTTAGCCGCGGAATTTAATTACAATTTCCGGGTGCTTTTTTGKCACAGTATATAAATTTCTCTTWTGGTGGCGGTCAGAATTACACAACACTCGCTTTAGATTCTGGGCATCCGACATAAGTTTAGCCGCATTTACCAAGTTTAAAATGAGTTAGTTTGGGGAAGTACCAGACCGAAGAATGCGAATGTACCGAAAAACAAGAAAAATTTTAGATTTGACTGCACCTTCACAGGTTAAAGTTTTGTTACAAGAACTTGATATTCATGATTACGTTTACAGGGCAGCTATATGCTACATATTATATAATGGTCCGATATCGGCGGTTTCAATAAATGAGAAGTTTCTTGTGGAGTAAAGGACGAGTGCGAAAATTCATACCGCATACATATATACAGACAGACGGTTTATACATGTACATATGTATGTATATATACATATGTATGATATTATGTGTAAAACGTATAAAGCCTATGAACTAGATACATACATGCTTTTTGCACGATCTAAATGCTGTCTCTTATACACATCTCATATGTATGATATTATGTGTAAAACGTATAAAGCCTATGAACTAGATACATACATGCTTTTTGCACGATCTAAATGCTTTGACACAACATACATACAAAGGTTTTACGTTTACTTTATAAACAAAAAGTTAGAAGCATATGTATTAAAAAAAGTGACAAACATTAAATAGTTAAGTATAGTTTTGTTAATTAACAAATTAGCTAATATAGTCAGCGAATATATGTAAAAAATCCCGCTAATAAAAATTTAAAAATTAAACATATAATTAAACTGCGAACGGATAGTGGTTGTTGTTATTTGTGATAACGATTTAAAAGATAACAAAAAGTTGTTTACAGTCTATGCGTTGAACACGAGTAAACTTATATGATACACTTTTAAATATACAGACACACACATATTACTTATATAATCTAATATAACTTTATCTTTGCAGTATTTCTTTTATATTCAAGAACAAATTCGATTTACCTAATGTTTTGTTAYGCAGAAGTGTCTTTAAGTTTGCGCTTAAACAATCGATAGGTCGGCCTTAAAACTTAAACACCACATTTGCTTAATATTCATATTAAATAGTTAAAAGTACATAATTAATTATAGTTTTCGTAAAAAATTTAAAAAATTGCAAACTCCTGTTGTTAAATTTTTATTTATAATTCTATAATCTAATACGCAAAATTCTAAATTGAGATTTCTCAGAATAATATATATGAATATGTTTTGAATATACTAACTTGGCTACAATTTTTACAACTAATGCCGTTTCACACGTACAGCTAACGCTATCATGACTCATTATACAAATGTACATGTTAATACCCATAATACCAACTCACACACCAGCCATCGCTTCCCGATCGTGATTGTCAAAAAGCGTAATCAACAACGAATGCCAATGAGCTTCGCTTACCAAATACGCAAGGGGAAACACTTTCGTTTATCACTGCGCATTTTGATAAAAAATAAAAAGCAATAACAATAAAAATACATACACATGAATAAGCTTTTTTACAGTGCCTGTGTTTTGAATTTATTACGATAAGATGGGTCCATTATATTTGGTGGACATACATACATTTTGTATCGTTACCAGCAATAAATTGGTGAAAATAATAATTCAARTGAAAATGTGGTCCAGTTCTTACTATGCACTGAGATTAAAATATTCTGGGTACGTATCTCAGTTTAATAATCTAGTCAACTTTTACGTTTTTAAGTCTTTGTTCAAATTTATATACAATTTTAGGCACGTTTTAATGATTTTAAATTTCCCATCGGTAGCATTAGGTTCCACTAAAATCGTATTGATTTCACTCTGCATGTGTTTGTGTTTTATCAAAAGACATTTGACTTTGCAGTGCGTGGATCGCCACGCCAATCGCAGAAAAAATCAAAGAAACTTTATGCAAATGAAATATTCAATACAATTTTAACAATAACATGAGGCAAACTCAAGTTTATTGTAAATTCATTTGACAAAAATTTATATAATGCTACTCACTTTAAATATCCAACGATGGTTTTCACTTCGATGCATATTCATTCGATTGTTATGTAAGCGAAATCAATTTACAACCCAAAAACTACCCAAATTTTCTTACATGTGAGCATTCGCACTTGTTAAAATCTATTGATATCACAATTGATTTTAATCAGTAGGGAATGATAGTTTGTAAAAAATATGGTAAACAAGAAAAAAAAACGTTAACTTTGGCTCAACCGAATCTATATTACTCTTTACCGTGTGTTTTTTATAACATAAAAGTTTATAAAAACATATTTATATTAACTTTTTTGCCATAGGGTGTTATAAATATGGTGGCAAACTTAATTTACTCTGTTTAATGACAAAAAAAATTCTTTAAACAAATTTTTGTTTACCGTAACGTAACGTTTTTACATTTTCTTGTCCCCATATGTTCATAGTATTTTATTAGAGTCGCATTTGAATACTTTAAATTAGACGACGAAAAAAACAATACATAWAGATTGTTTCAACAGAAAGCTTACGAACTTACCTTTCGACTGCAATACTGTTCGACCAGCGATGTTCTCGCATGCTTCATTTAATGCACCAAAATCCATAAAATTTCTRTTGCGCTATTCATGTTTTCTATAGCATTTTTCTGTCAACAGCAATACACTTCACCTATCCCCTATATTCCATTCAACATTCGTCTTCACCCTTCTGTCACACTTATTGACTTAGCATTAAGACTTTGTGGCAGATCTTAAAAGTGTTTTCGTACCCAATATTTCTCATATCCAATCGAAGGCTTTTCTTATACAAACTTATAGCTATGTAGTATATAAATAGGCAACTAAAATACACAACGTTCTTGCACAGCTCATGAATACAACTGCACTAAAGCAATATTACAATTGCACGTCGATCTATCCCACATTATCAGTTCTTTTATATAGACAATTGTTGTTTTAATCTTCCCACCCCTTCACATGCGATTTTACACCATACGCCGCAGTACTTTCTTGGCTGCTTTTATGTTCGGCACCAATGCTTTAACTTCACTGCAATCGTCAAGGAACGGATGCCGTAGCAATTCATCAGCCGTTGCACGTTTATCGACCTCCACTTGCAAGCAACAATCAAGAAAGTCTTGTAAACTGGGACTCAGTTTATCCCAGCTCTTAATGTCAGGTCTACCATTAGCCGCAATAAGATAGAGCGCACGAAGCGGTGTCTCATAAAGATATGGTGGTTGACCTTCAATCATTTCTATTGCCATAATACCAATTGACCAGATATCTACTTTCTTTCCATACTTCTTACGTGTAACGACTTCGGGAGCCATCCAATATGGTGTACCGACCATAGTCTGACGTTTTTCATCACCTTCAATATTTGCGCAGAAACCGAAATCGGTCACCTTTACCGAACCATCCATACCTAATAACACATTATCCGATTTAATATCACGATGAATGATACCTTTGGAATGTAGAAAACTTATTGCATAAAGAACTTCACGGCAAACGCACGCGATCTGTCTTTCCTTCATAACAGTTTCCGTGACAACGTCAGTTAGTGGACCACCATCCATATATTCCATTATTACCCATAACTGATCTTCTGGTTCAAGTAGATATGCATCCARGAAATTTACTAAATTTTTATGATTGAAGTCCTTTAATACACGTATCTCAGTAAGAATGAGATCTTTTGAAGACTGATTTTTAAGATCGATGGTCTTAACTGCAACTTGCGCCTCGGTTTGCAAATCGCCTGCAATGAATACAATGCCGGAAGCACCCTTACCCACCTCTTGCGTAGTGTGATAGCGCTCGCGAGGATCGTCCATATTGCAAATAGCTCGAAGTTCTTCATAAACTTCAGCGTCTGTCTTCTGTGCACGTTTATCTTTTGATCTACGCAAAATTGATTCCTCAGCTGGTTCAGTATCAGCATCTGTTGGAGCCACAGGATTGAGGATAATCGTATTAGTGTTGATCTTGTTCAAAGGTTCCTCTGCATTGATAGTTGTAAGATCAGAGACTCCGCGCGAAAGCTGTTGAGTTACCGCTCTAGGCTTTGGTTTTAAAACTGGTTTAGGGGGTAAGGTTTGCAGTTTTTTGGCAGGCAATGGAGGACGGTCGTCACCGGTGAATGATGAAATTGGTTTCAATGTTTCKCGTTGCGCTARTAAATTTGACTCAAGTTCTTTGATSACTTGATTCAATCCAGTCATACGGATGGCTTGTTGATTGTCATTGAAACTACTACTATTGCTATTTCCACTGGACGATGCACCACTTTCCCCAGTAGAGCTTCCTCCTCCATATAACTCATCATCATCGGATTTATCTGGATCATGTGATTTGTGTTTATTTTTGTAATTCACATAGTTATCTATTTCTTTTGATTCCTCGTGAATTGCCTCCTCAGTAATGAATGGCTTAAATACATCATTGTCCTTTTTCTTAATGGAATAGTTGTAATATTTAACGGCATGGTAGGCAGCATCAGGGTTTTTATCCTGTTCATCGCGGGTAATTTGTGCATTCATGAGTCTTGTCCAGGACGCAGGCAAACCTTCAAGATGCCCCGTCTCTTCATTTCTTGACACATGATAATGCCGTTGGAAATTGGTTGGATTACCGATTTCTGAGATAGGTTCCTTCTTGCGACCAAACCAACCTTTCAGACTTGTGAAACTAGTCATTTTGACAATATGTTTGTATGATTAAAAGAAAATATTTTGAATTTTATTCTTTCTTTTAATAATTTTAATAAAAAAAATGTTTACTTTACACGCAATTTGTTAGTAGCGCACACCTAAATTTGCTGATGTTTGTTACTACCCTTAATTTTCTTCTCTGTTAGCTCTAGTGTTGTGCTGTTGCTTACTAAAATGCGTGACTCACACGTAGCTTTTCAATAGTATGCATAGTGGCGATCAGTCTTTAAGACTCGAAAATATATAGAGTGCATTATATCAACTACTCCACGACTAATTCTCGTACTTTTGACTCTAAATTTTTAGTTTATTTTGCATGTAATACTTTATACAAAATACATTCTATTTGTGTATGTTATATTCCACTTTCATCATATATGCACATTTCTTTCGTTCWTAAGCAGTTTAATTAATCACCAATTACGATTCAATTATACACAAACTCGTTTCTTCATTCACATGAATTTCACATGTACTAGTTACATGTTTTCTTATCTATTAATTTCYCAGATGCATTCAATTCACTTCCCTTCTCGTTCTGTACAATCACACTGCATCTTTTTCAAAGAAYTTTTATTTCTGACTCCACATTCCGTCTTTGCTTATATTTTTATTTTATCTGACTTTTCTTCACTTATGCACTTAGTACTTTTGTCTCCACTGCTGGCGCATTCGTGTTTTACACAAAGGAGTGGCACTTCACCTTCATTACTTCTATTCCTTCACTCACGTCTTGTAAWATATTTATTACATCTTTATTCCTTGCTTAATTTTATTTCATTGCTCGTTTATTAACATTTTATTTTATTTTATTTCATTACAGCCGAACATAAAATATAGGAAATTGGTTGTTTTTGAAGATACGTTGTCATTTATTTCACTTGAAATTTACACTTTTCTCGATTGAATGTCGACGAACGACTGACACCGCCAGCGATATAATTTGTTGTTGTTGGTTGATTACAGGGATGCATGTAATAAATTTCAAACTATATCTAAAATATTTATTGATCCTCAGGTTTAGCTCATCTAATGTTCACAGAATCGTATATAAATATAAGTTTTAACTAAAATTAATTTTTAATTAAAAAATAAAAGAATTATAAAAACTGGGGTTCAGCAACCCTGATATTATTTGTTAAATATGCGTCTCACTTTAACAAACGGCGATCAGATACCATTTAGGTGAAGCAGAGTTCCTTCTCGCKCAAAAGCGAAACTTGTCGATAATGAAGTTTTCCAAAGGTGCATAAAATCAAAATCAGCGCAAAAAATATTAATATAATAATATATTTATTTTATTTTTGATTCAAATACGAATTATACAACTGTACAAATGAAAAACTAAAGTCTACAAAAAGTATTTTAATTTTATCTACTTCCTTTAGTAATACAATAATAAATGTAAGTTAATAATTCAAATGTTCACCAAAGAATTTTATAAAAATAATATTGGCTGGTTAAGCAGCTCTTATTTCCACCGACGATGTAGGAAGAGCAAAAGGAAGCGGATATTCTCTTCTCGGTTTCTATTCTTCTCAAACTCCAATTATGCTAAATAATAATATTTATTGTTAATATACCGATGATTTTTTAATTTTGAGTTAATGAAGTAATGTACATATATACCATTTACARCAAACAAACAAGGAATTCCCTGCAATATAATATTAGTATAGCTTATTAATGGTTAAAACAAAAAATTAATAACATAAATAACATTCGTAAGTAAGTAAGTTTTGAAATCTGTGATGTCTTTGAATGCTCTATTTATGATCATATAATCTTATGTGTACTCCATTCGTATAGGTACATTTGTATATGCCGAAAATAAATTAATTTAAATATATAGATAAAAAAAGTATATCTGAATATGTGTCTACAATTGTTAACATATCAACATCTGGACGATATTTTACTTTCACACATAATTAAGTATCTTCCTCTATCTTCGGGACCGTAGTCATACACATATGCAGCACAGACATATAGATATGTGTACATATGTAAGTATATTGTTAWTAATACCAGAGCATATGTTACCCTGCCTAGAAACTTTTTTATGTTCATGGGAATATTTAAACAGCTTCTGAACGAGATGATTAATTCAACAGATGAATGTAGGCATTTAAAATCTGGATATCATTTGGCATAMGACTCAGTTATTACTTTCAGTTTAATTGAAGCAGTCGAACTGTACGGAATCAAGTGCCATAATCTTCTTAAACATCCAAATTGAACAGTTAGGTTTAAATATTATTATATATATTTTAGTAATAATATTAAGTGAGGCCCTATSTTCCACTTAGGAACTACGGGAAAATATATATATAATAATAATAAATATTATATTAATTTTCAGATGTGGTTAAGCACGATTTGTCTGACTCTTACCATTTGCATAATGCKATCGGACTCGGCAGCTGTACCCAATTCGACTGCTGAAGAAGTGCTAAAAGATCCATCAAATGTATCGCATGATTGTACCAATGTCTTGAAGTTGGAGCACATCAATCACGTTTTAAGTCGAATTGATACCAGCGTACAGAGTCTAGAAGAAAAAGCACACAATTGGGCAATCTTTCGACACCATATCGATGCGTGGAATGAGCAAATCAAAGCGTTAGAACACAAWTTAGATTTGGTTAGGCGTACACAGGACGAACAGCAAGCATATGGAAATAGATTCCTCAGTCTGGAATTCACACTCAATCACATATTAAGCAAAGTCGTATATCTGAGTGATTCTTGCAATGCGCAGCAAGGCGTCGCCATACGATCACCAACACCCTATAATACCCGTGCGAACAGCAATGACAATGACAATGGCCGTGACACTACGCAACAACAACAGCAAAATCGAGATACCAACGAGCTGCTATATGAGCATATCGCCTTGCTGGGGGACGTRAAGCATGCCATCGACGTTGACAAGCAGCTGCGTGGAGAGCTGTCGACACGTCTCAACAATATATTGCGACATGTGCAGAACATTGAACGCGATAATTGTCGAAGCGAAAGACGGCACACAACAGCGAATGCCAACAATAAAGTCGCTAAGCTAATGGCGCCTATTGGCGGTTGCAATTCAAATCAAAATGTTGAAAGAACGCTAATATCTGTGGATCAACAGTTAACGAGACTACTCACACGACCAACAACACCACCGAAAGAATTAAAACAAATACACACATTAGCCAAAAAAGATGCACAGCAATTGGAAAAATTGACAAATTGGATGAATAAAATTGATAAGCAATTAATGCAGTGGCGTGAWGAAAGTTCCATGGGTTGGCAGCAATGTCAGACCATGTCCGGTGAGCTAACCACGTTCACTGAAAGTTCGGATTTGCTATTGAAACGCATCGAATTTTTGCTACACGAAGTCGATGAAAAGCTAGCGAAAGAACCGTTGCACAAAACGGGATATAAAGACGATGAAGTTGATGCAGCTGAGCATGATGAAGATACTGATGCAGTTGACACGGAACAAGTTGATAAGGATCCATCTAACGGTAGTAATGATATTGAGCGTGAAACATCAGCAGAAGAAAACGCTGAAGATGAGTCGGCGGTAAATACTGACGAAAACTTAGATGAACCTACAGATGCAGATGTAGGAGAGCAGACAGAGCGGATAGACGTTCGCTACGATATTGTTGGTGAGTTTGTACTAGGGAGCTGAATCTTCAGAATGTACAATTTGCATGAGAACGTTCAAAAGAGATTTAAATTTAATTGCTGTATATTGAAATTTTTTATAAATATTCTAGATTTTTCGCAACCCAATAAGATCGGTTGTCATGAGTTGTTTGGTCCATCAGTCGATGGGGTTTACAAATTTTCGACACCTGAATTAAATGAAGCATCACGTGATTTCAATGAACGTTACTGCGCATTTGCAACTGACGGCGCTGCTTGGACCGTCATACAAAATCGTGGTCCCTATATCGAGCATGAGAATTTCAATCGATCTTGGGTTGAGTATCGAAATGGATTTGGGATGCTCGACAAAGAATTTTGGTATGGTAATGAATTCATACATCAACTGGTTGATCGGGATGACTATGAACTGCGCATTGAATTAACGGATTTTAACGATGGTAAGCGAATTGTTTTCATTGTATGTATGTATGGACATACTGTTTTTTTTTAATTAACAGAACATTTGTGGGCCGAGTACTCATTGTTTCGTTTGGACAGTGAGCGCTACAACTACAATTTGCTAATTGGTGGCCATAGCGGTACAGCACCCGATGCAATGCATTATCACAACGAAATGGACTTCAGTACATATGATCGACGCAACGATAAGAGCGTAGATGCTTGTTGCTCATGCGCTACCGGTTACGGAAGTGGCTGGTGGTTTGACAAGTGAGTGTGCCTAAAATATTATGAAATTTGCTTAATACAAATATATTAATGAAAAATTATCTTTTCCATATATGCGCATTATAGCTGTTCGGAAGCGAACTTAAACGGTATTTACCGTCCAACACCCAATGGACACAATTTCGTCGGCATCATTTGGGAGCAATGGCATGGTGACTACTCACTATATAAAACGCGCATGTTAATTAGACCAAAGAATCCATCGAAACAAGTAGAAACAAACGGGGAGCGTAATGCACATAATGAAGATCCATAAAAAAATCTTGTGAAAAACGTTTATGAAAAAAGATTAAA